TGGAGCCCTCGTCGGCCCCGCTTGGGCCCCTCTCGGGCCCCTCTTGGGCCTCTCTTGGGCCTCTCTTCGGGGCCCCTCGTGGCCGCCCCGGGGCGCTCTAAACCCATGGGGGCCCCAACAAGGGTTGACTGCCGGGGCGCAGTGCCCCGATTGAAATATCATAGCGCACGAGGTCCCTCCGTTTACTCCGTGCTCCTGTGGTTTACTGCGTTGGTCTGCTGTGCTGAAATGCCGTGCTCCCGCGGCATGCAAGGCTCCCGTGGTCTGCCGCGCTGGTCTGCCGCGCTGAGCTGCCGCGCTGAACTGCCGTACTCCTGCGATCACTGATCTGTGGGGCCACTAAGGCTGGAGAAGCACGCTGGTCCACCCTCGCACCCAAACCCGGGGAGGGGCCACCTCGGGCCGCCTGCCACAACTCGACAGAACTGACCCAGCCCGAGACGGGCGGCGGAGGCGGAGCAGCCCAAAGGCTCGACTTGGGCCCACCCCCAAAAAAAAAACACCCACACCCGAGCCCGCGCGCGCGCCCACGCCCACCCACCCGCCCCCCACCCACCCACACACGCCACCACCACCCCACCACACACACACACACGCACCAGCACGACGCTCACAGCCTCACGACGTTCCCTCGACTGGGCTGAAGTGTGAACGGCGACAACTTCGAAGAAACTGGCGACCGAAAGCGCAATCGGACCCAGGGGGGGCACCGACCTACGAGGAACTCGACTGCAACGATGGCGCGCACGCGCAGACACAAGACAGCCGCGCACAACCGAAACCGGGGGAACCTTCACTCGCGCTCGAAAGCCGTCAGATCCGAACTCACGAGCCCGTGCGCGCTGTGAGCAGCCTCTTGACCCCCGCCTCAAGGTCGGCCATGCCGCTCCCGAGCCGAACGCCACCGCGATGAGGCTGGGAGGTGATCATGCCCACTGACACGTGGGACAACTCCTGCCCGAGCAGGAGGCCGTGGACGCGGCGCCCTAGCTCCTCGCCGGAACCCTCCACGAAACCCCTCAGGCACAGGCGCCAGCATCGGCTCGCACGCTGCGAGCAGCCTCTTGCCCCCCACCTCGAGGTCGCCCATGCCGCCCCCGAGCCGCGCGCCCCCGCGATGGGGCTGTCAAGCGATCCCGCCGACTGACCCGCGGGACAAGCCCTGTCCAAGCAGGGGGCCGTGGACGCGGCGCCCCAGCACCTCGCCGAACACCTCCTGGAACGCCTCTGGCACCTTGGGCTCGGCGTCGTCGCCAACGTCGCCCCCTCGCACCGCCCCCCCTTCTGGTCGACTCTGTCGTGCAGCTCCTCGCCATGCTCGTACTGATCACTGTTGCGCTGCTCGACCTTGTCGCGCTGTTCGGCGTAGTGCTCGCACTGCGCGCGGCAGCGCTGCTCGACTCTGTCGCGCTGCTCGGCTACGTCACGGCACTTCTCGCTGGCGCGCTGCTCGACTAGGTCAAGCTGCCCAGCGCTGCGCCCGAACCGCTCGCAGCAGCGCTGTCGGAGCCTGTCGCGCAGCTCAGCGCCGCGCACGCCCTGCCGCGCCCACCCCGCGGCGGAGCCGCCTCGCGGGCGAGGCCGCGGCGAACCGAGCGGAGCTCCTCGAAATCCTCGTCCCAGCCGTAGGCGGGCTCGCGGTCGACGCCGAAGCCGTCGTCCGAGGGGGGTGGGGGGGTGGGGCGGGGTGGGGGTGGGAAGGGGGGGGGTGGGTGGGGGGCGGGTGGGGTGGGTGGGGTGGGGTGGGGGGGGCTCGCTGCTCAAGAACTCCACGTCGCCTTAGTACCCCAGCTCAGCCCCCCGCTCCGCCTCCGCCGCGCGGAAGCCGACGACGCCCTGCTCGCCGCCGGTGGCGTCGGAACTTAGCCTCGCGGCCTCGACCTCATCGCCTGCCTGCCTGCGCGCCCGGCCGCGCGACCTACCCCGGCCGCTGCCGCGGCTCGGTCGCGAGGGCGGCGCGCGGGGGCCTGAGGCCCCGCAACCTGCTCTCGAAGCCCGCCATAGCGCCCGAGTCGACGCCGTGCTCAAGCAGGAGGCCAGGCTGGCGGACCTTCTCCATGAAGGACGGGCCCGACGCGTCGGATAGGTACTCGCCGCCGATCCGATGGGGTCGTTCTCGCACTGCACGCTGTCGCGCTGCTCGTCTTTGGCGCGCTGCACAGCGTCGTGCTCGCAGCGCGCTCTGCCGTGCCGCTCAGCGTCGTCCCCGACCATCACACTGTTGCGAAGCTCGGCTCTGTCGCGCTGCCCGGCGCCGACAGCGAACTCCTGCCACGTGCCGCTGCCGCGGGGCACGCTCTGGGAGCGGCCGTGGACGTCGTACTGCTCGAGCGGGTGGTCGCCGTGGCCGCCGTACTCCGGCTGCTCGCTGATGCCGCTCTCCTTCTCCCCCTGCGTCTGGCCTGCGCGGCAAACAGCGTCGGAGCGTTGGACGCCAGGGGCCAGCTCCTCGACCCTCTCTCTCCTCGGCCGCAAAGCCGGGCACCACCCCGGAGGCGGGGGAGAACGTCGGCCTGCGGCAGCATCTGCCAGGCCCCCAGAGCCAGCGACACTCCCCCGAGACGGGAATGCGGATCCTCCGGCGCGCCGTGGCGGAAGGCTACCGCCCCTGCCCGGAGCGGGAAGGCCTGCAGCTTCAGCGCGGCCTCCAGGGTGCCAGCGACGTGCCCAGACGGCCCCGTGGGCACCTGCGGTGGGCCGTCGAACGAGGGGGAGTGGCGCGCCCAGTTGGCCTCTGCGCCGATCTCGCGCGCCACGGTAGCTTCGGTCTTCAAACCGACGAGCATTGCCATGCACGCGGCGCCCGTGATGGGCGAGCTGCGGGCGCCGAGCCGCTCGCAGAGCTCCCAGTGAGCCCCGAGAGAACGGCGGAGAAGCTCCACCCGCCGGGCGTGCGCGGACGCTCGCGTCTCGCCGAGGGCGCCGCGCCGCTGCCGCCGGAGGCAGCCGGCGAGCGTCCGCGTGCTCGCGGCCGCCCAAGCCGCTCCGCATCCGGAATGCCCCATCGCGCGGGAAATGCTTTGGCGGGCGCCCGCGCCCGAGGGCCTGCCGCGAGCCTGACTCGCTTGAGCCAAAATGGCTCGAGCCGAAGTGGCTACGGAGGCCGTGCTCCTGCAGTGTGTCCGGCTCCTGTGGTCTACCGTGTTGGTCTGCCGTGCTGATCTGCCGCGTTGGTCTGCCGTGCTGGTCTGCCGTGCTGAAAGGCCGCGCTCCCGCGGTCTGCCGGGCCCCTGTGGTTTGCCTGCTTTTCCAGAGCGACGGTTACTTCCATACCTACCACTACTGCAACTACGACGTCTACTCCAATTCCGACCAGTACTACGAGAACGTCTAAAGAAACATCTAACGATAATACCACCACCGCAAATACCAGGACCACATCCCATAATACTACCTATACGACCACTCTTCGGGTGATAAGGAGGTTCGGGGGGGGGGAGGAACCAACGTCTCACTCGATCGGTCTCACTATCGATCTCACTATCGATCTCAGTATCGGTCTCGCTCGATCGATCTCCCTCGATCGATCTCACAATCGATCTCACTCGATCTATCTCACAATTGACCTGACTATCGATCTCACAATCGATCTCACAATCGATCTCACAATCGATATCACATTCGGTCTCACTATCGATCTCACTATCGATATCACAACCGCTCTCACAATCAACGTCACCATCATCATCATCATCATCAACAACAGCAACATCAAGATCATCATCACCAACATCATCATAATCGGGATACGGTCCTCATCATCAACACCAACATCATCATCATCACGGTCATCAACATCATCGGGACAACACCATCATCATCATCATCATCATCACCATCATCACAATCATCATCATCATCAGCATCATCATCACCAGCAACATCGGGACACAGTCATCGTCATCATCATCAGCAGCAGCATCATCATCGGGTCACCATGCTCACCATCGTTATCATCATCATCATCATCATCATCATCATCATCATCATCATCATCATCATCATCATCATCATCATCGGGACACCATCATCATCATCTCATCCTCATCATCGACATCATCATCAGCATCATCAACATCATCATCAGCATCATCATCATCATCATGGGCACCATCATCATCATTACCAACATCAGCATCATCATCATCATCATCACATCATCATCATCATCATCGGGACGCCATCATTATCAACATCATCATCATCATCACCATCATAATAATCATCATCATCGGACGCCATAATCATCATCAACCTCATCATCATCAACATCATCATCATCGGGACACAATCATAATCAGCATCATCAACATCAACATCATCATACTCATCATCATCGGGACACCATCATCGTCATCATCATGATCATCAACATAATCATCATGATCATCATTATCCTCATCATCGGGACACCATCAGCATCATCATCATCATCGTCATCATCCTCATCATCATCATCAGCAGCATCATCATCATCGGGACACCATCATCCTCATATCATCACCATCATCATCATCATCATCATCATCATCGTCATCATCATCATCATACAGCAACTTGTCGGCATTTGTGGCAACACCGCGGCCGTATTCCCTTGCTCAAGTTCTAAAGGAACGCAAGCATTCATCATTGCGCGGGTCAACGCCGACCTCACAGTGCCCTCTCCGCTGCCATCACCGTACGCGGCAGCGCGACGCCCTCCCCCGATCGCGTCTGCTCTCCTGCGTTGGCCTGCCCCGCGGTGGAGTGCCGCTGCTCGACTGGCGAGGCTCGCTGGCTTCTGCCCAGCCGTCAGGCTGGTCAAACGAGTTCGTGGTCGTGCTCGTGGTGGGTGGCTTCGCGTACGGCAGCGTCGTTGGCGGCTACTGGTTCAAGAGCTCGCTGACGGCCCCCGTGGTGCAGCCTGCACCCGCTCCAGCATCGCTTCAGGAGGCCGCGGACACTCTCGACGTCGCGAGCGCGGCGACTACCCAGGCGAGGAAGTTCCGCCTTTAGGCGGAATGGCTGCTCGCACCGCTGGACAGTTCCACTACTTCTGGTACAACGTCGGGGCGGCCGCTCTCCTCCACGAGAGACTCACTCTGCTGCCTGTGTACATCCTTACCCCTGACGATGAGGTATATGCTGAGAGCGACGCGGCAGGTGGTGACTTGAGAGCTGTGCATGACTCGGCGGGCCAGGGCGTCGCGATTGCAGGCGTCGCCGCCAACAAGCTCGACAAGTTCTGGCGGCTGCCGTCGGCAGCCGTCGCCTGGGCTGCTGCGCGGAGCTGCGTCGCCCAGGGCCATGGGCCTCTGGCGCCTTCGCCCTTCATCCTCGAGCTCAGCGCCGACAACGTGTTGGGCGTCTCGAAGGGGGTCCCGGCCGTGTTCGACCCGCTCGGAGCGGCCTCCGCCGCCGCAGCGCCTGGCGCCCCGGCCTTGGCTGGCGCGGCCGCGCCCCCCGCGGGCGCCCCTGGGCCGCCTGCCGCGTCTGCCGCTACGCCTGTGAGCGGGCTGGGCGCGCTGGCCGCGGCGCTCGGTGCGGGGGGGGCCGCCCTGCCTGCCGCCGCTGGCCCTCCGGGCGTCGGCGCCGCCGCCGCGGCCCCCGCGACCCCAGGTGCCGCGGGGTCTGATCCCCGCGTGCTGGCCACCGACCTCGACGCGCGGGGGGTGCGGGACATGCTTGTCAGGGACGCTGTCAAGCGCCAGACCGAGACCCCCCGCGCCGGCTGGCCCGTGAAGGGCCTGACGACCACGATGTGGGTGCTCCACTTCATGCTCCCCATGGCGGACGGGGCGACGTCGTGGCTCAACCGCTGGGTGGCCATGAAGCAGGCCTCAGAGACGGACGACGCCGACAGGCTGTGCGAGACGCTGTGCCGTGTCGTCGAGACCTTGCGCTGCCGCGACCAGCTGATCATCTGCGGGCTGTCTGCCTACGAGTTCCTATCGCGGCAGCTGCTGATGGTGGAGGGGCGCTTCTTTGAGGAGCGGGCGCGCAGGACTCACCCTGGGCCCAAGCCCAAGGGCCAGGCCAAGGACGGCGCCGCGGCCGCGGCCGCCGACGTTTCCTCCGAGATTGGCCACTTCCTCGGCACTGGAGAGACGTTGGGCATTTTGTGCATTCCCCCACCCTTAATGGATTGATTTGCTGAGCAGATGAAGAGTGAGGCTACCGTTGCGAAGGAGCGCCGCAAGGCTCGCGAGGAGCGGGCCTTGCGGCAGCCATGACGTTCCCGAAGGGCGCTGGTCAGGGGGGGCCTCGCGACGCGCCACCTGCTCGTGAGCCTGGCCAGCTTGGCCCCGAGCCCGTCGAGGCTCCACCTGGCCTGGAGTTGCCCACGCGAGGTGACCATCGCCAGCGAGACGTTTTTCCGCTTCCTCTTCTTCCAGTGGATGGGCGTCGCCATCTTCCGCTTGGTCGCGGGGCTCGTCTGCGCGCCGCCAAAGGCGCGGGCTGGGGGGAGTGGTGCAACGAGGGGTTGTCTGCTCTCAACTGGCTCCACTGCGGCAAGGGCGAGCCTTTCATGCCTGGCGAAGGGGGGCCACCGCCCGCGGCCCAGGCAGCCGCCGTGGACTACATCGCGGGGCTGCACCGCGACTTCGAGCTGCCCGCCGCCTACTCGGAGAGAGGCCGCGATTGCGAAGCATCCCTCGTGGAGATGCTCGCGCAGGCACCTGGCTACGCTGGTGACAGCGGTCGAGTGCGCCCCTACAGCATGCCGCTTGTGGCCTGGCCCGAGTCGACGAAGGCAGTCTCCGCCTGCGGCGTCGTCTCCGAGGCCGACTCCATCGTGCTGCAGGATTGGAGGCAGAGTATGCTGAATCCCGAGTCGGTGGCGGCGGAGCTGCGTGATTCGCTGGGGGTTACCAGCCCTTATGTCGATCCTGAGCTGCGCTTTGAGCCGAAGTCCTACGCTGAGTTTTTGAAGCAGCTGGAGGCCCACGGCATGATCTCCTGGCGGGTCTCCAGCGAACAGGCATCCTTCTCTACTGGTCTCTTCTTCGCGCAGAAATCAAACGGCAAGCTGAGGTTGGTGTTCGACACCAGGCTGGCCAATTGCAGTTTCTCGTGCCCACCAGCCACTCGTCTCCCCACGCCCAGCGCGCGGGCCAGCCTTGACTGTGACGACAGTTTTAATTTCGCGCAGGGCGACATTCAGAGTGCTTTTTTATCATTTACGTCTACCAGCTGGCATGGAGTCGCTGTTCTCTCTGCCTCCGATAAACAACAGATTCGTCGGCCTCAAGTCGGTCAACGGGGTTCGTCTTGGCATTAACGACTGCGTCCAGCTTCTTGTCACGGTCGTCCCCATGGGATGGAGTTGGGCCCTTCACTTGTGCCAGAGTGCGCTGACGAGAGCCCTGTCGGATGTCGGGTTCGGTCGCGACGATATGATTCTGGATGGGGGCTGCCCGCGGCCCTTGGTCGCTGAGAAGGACGCGTTGTGTGCAGGATACGTTGACAACTTCTGTGTCGTATCCAAGTGTGCCGAGACAGCCGCGTCCCTGGCGCGTGCCGTTGCTGACCTTCTCACGGCCCGCGGGCTGCCTGTCTTGGAATTCTCCCCTGCGGTCAGTAAGGGGGTATTCACGGGCTTGGAGATCGACGGAGCTTCTGGGATCATTCGTGTTCGTCCTGACCGCCTCGCTCGCACTCGTCAAGCCGTTCTCGGGCTCTTGAAGCGTGGGCGGGCCTCTGCTGGGGCCCTCAGCGTGCTCGTAGGCCACTGTACTTGGGGGATGATCCTGAGGCGCGACGTTCTGAGCATCTTTAACGCGGTCTATCGGTTCATGGGGGCTGTGGGACCCCATCCTGGACCCCTGTGGCCCTCGGTCGTCAGGGAGTTGTCGGCTGCCGTGGCCCTCATCCCGCTCTGGAGTGCCTCTACGAGGTCCCGCTGGTATTCGCGGGTCCATGCTTCTGATGCGTCGCCGTACGGGAAGGGCGTCTGTGTCAAGGAAGTCTCCCCCGCGCTGTCGTCCGAGGTCGGCCGAGTCGCCGAGCGCTGGAGATATCGTCATGGGGATGCCGTGCTTGCCAGATCACGTGCCCTTGACGTCGACGGTCGTGACGATGCTGCCGACAGTTGCCGTGCCGACACATCGTATACTGCCTCTACTGCTTCGTCGTCTGGGCCCAGTGGGTTCCTCGAGGTCCCTGAGTCCATCTACGGGGCCGAGGGTTGGAATACCATGCACTCTAGCCGTCATACCCGCCGTGGCTGCGATATCCTTCAGTACGAGGCGGAGGCCCTGGGGTTCAGCGTCCATCATGCCTCGAGGGCCCTGGGTGCTCATCATCATCGCGTCGTCTGTATCGTGGACAATTTGGCTCTAGCTCTGTCGCTCGGCAAGGGGCGGTCTGGGAGCCGACATCTTCTCCGCGCCCTGCGGCGGATCGCTGGCGTGGCCCTCGCCTGCGGCCTGCGCCTGCTCGTGCGGTGGGTGCCGTCAGAGAGGAATGTCGCGGACAAGCCGTCGAGGGAAGGTTTCTTCGTCGGCCCTAGCTTCGAGGGCGTCGGGTCGTACCTCGTCGCGCGCCGCCCGCGGATCTCCCACGGAGGTGATCAAGGCGGCGAGGGCCAGGCGGGAACATCCTGGTCCGCTGACGCTTCTGCGGGGCGGACTGTCGGTGCTGGAGGCCAACGCGGTCTCGGAGTCGACGGGCAAGAACTACCACGCCTCCGCCCTCAGGTTTCTGAACTGGTGCCTCTGGACCGCCAGGGACTTCAAGAACAGCGTCGAGCTCGACACGATCCTCGTGGTGTTCTTCGTCCACCTCTTCCTCGACGGGTACGACAGTGCGACGGGCCGCGTCACGGTGGCCCCTCTGAAGCACAGCACCATCTGCCGTCGATGCTGATGGGCAGCCGCCCGCTGCCGCGGGCCTTTCGGGCCCTTCAGGGTTGGACGAAGCTCGTGCCGCCGCAGATGAGGCTGCCGCTGCCGAGGGTCGCGGCGTTCGCCATCGTGGGCGTGCTGCTGTCTCCGGGGCTTTTGTCGCAGGCGGTCTTCGTGAGGATCGCGTTCGGCACGTACCTCCGCCCCAGCGAGGCCTACCGTCTCACGGCGGCCTCCCTGATCGCGCCGAGGTCGGGCGCCACGGAGGGCTACCAGCACTGGGCTCTGTTGGTGAACGACGCGGCGAGCGGGAGGCCTGGCAAGACGGGGGTCACCGACGAGAGCGTCATCGTCGACGATCCTCTCCTCTGGCCTCTCCTCGAGGCGCTTCGGCAAGGACGCCGCGCGGAGGAGAGCCTCTGGGCCTTCGCGCCGCACCAGCTGCGGCGCGCTTTCGCGGAGGCCCTGGTCCAGCTCGGGATCTCCGACCAGCAGACCTCCCTCTACTCGCTGCGCCACGGGGGGGCCTCCGACGACCTCCTCTCGGGTCGCCGCACGAGGAAGGAGGTCAAGGACCGCGGCAGGTGGAGGACGGACCAGTCTCTGAACAGGTACGCCAAGCGGGCGCGCATGCAGCAGCGGCTGGGTCAGCTCGACCCTGCGCTGGTCGACTTCGGGCAGAAGGTCGAGAGCGATCTGCTGGGCCTGATGGGCGTGATCGCGAGGACGGGCATCTTCTCGCTGCCGCTGCCGCCCCTCAGGCCGGCGTCGGCGGCGGCGCGGGTGCAGGCGCCTCCCGCGATGACCGACAAGTGGCTCTTCGCGTGAGGCGCCTGTGGCTACGTGCGCGGGCGCATGCCACCGTGATGCCGTACCTCATCATGCTCTGCACCTGTGTCCCCGACCGAGTTCGGCGAGTGTGCGAGGCCCGCGGGCTCGGCACCGTTGCTGTGAACGTTGCTCGACATCGCCTCGACGACCTCGCTGACCCTCAGGTTCTGAAGTCTCTGACTGGCTGGGTGCGCGCCTCGGCTGTGCTCGGAGTCTGGGCGTCCTTGCCCTGGGACACCTGGGCGCCAGGGGCGTCGCGTGTCCGCAAATTTGATTCTCTGCTGCACGTGAGTAGAGCCTCAGAGGCCGCCTGTCGCGCCGTGCGAGTGGCCAACGCGTTGGCTGAATCCACCTTCAAATTGATTGCGGAGTGTATCTTCCGCAGAGTCCCGATCATTTTTATGCACCCTGTGTCGAGCCTCATTTGGAGGCATCCCCGCCTGTCCCCTCTCCTTGCCTCTTCCTCCTCCTCCTGCTCCCTCGATGCGTGCATGTATGCGGGGCGCGTGAGACAGCGACTCCACCTCGTCGGATGGAGCGTGCGGGATCTTGATTGCCTCGCTCGTCGTTGCCTCTGCGCCCATGGCCTCTGTGGTCGCGCTCTGAGACGTCACCTGGGAGGCCTGGGACGTCCAGCACTGGGCGCCGTAGCTCGTGCCTCTGCTAAGGGTCTCCCCTCGGAAGTGGCCATTGCTGGCACTGAAATGATAGTGGCCGAAGCTCGTCATCTGTCCCGCGCCGCGAGATATAAGAAAATGTTTGGTCAATGAGTAATTCGGCTGTGGCCACCTGGGTAGACTAGCGTGTGGTACCGTGTCTGTGCTTCACTGCTGGCGTTTCCCTCGGGGCCGCCCTCCGCCGTTTGCGCAAAGAAGAAACAAGATGGCCCCGAATCGTCCACATACAGCGTCTTGTCGGCATTTGTGGCAACACCGCGGCCGTATCTTTTTGCTCAAGTTCTACCCTGGGCCCCCCCGACCACTTGAGCTTTTAATGTTTCTCCGTGTCTGTGCTTCACTGCTGGCGTTTCCCTCGAGGCCGCCCTCCGCCGTTTGCGCAAAGAAGAAACAAGATGGCCCCGAATCGTCCACATCATCATCATCATCGTCATCATCATCATCAGCAGCATTATCATCACCATCATCAGCATCACCATCATCATCATCATTAGCATCGTCGTCATCATCATCATCTCCATCATCATCATCATCATCATCATCATCATCATCATCATCATCATCATCATCATCATCATTTCATCATCATTTCATCATCATCATCATCATCATCATCATCATCGCGGGACACCGCGGGACACCGGCGGGACACCGCGGGGCACCGCGGGACACCGCGGGACACCGCGGGACACCGGCGGGACACCGCGGGCCACCGGCCGCCCGGAAGGGAGTCATTTGGTCCGGCCGCGTCTCAGCCACACGGGACTTTCGCGGGGCAAACTGGGGCACCGCGGGCCACCGGCCGCCCGGACGGGAGTCATTTGGTCCGGCCGCGCCTCAGCCACAGGAGACTTTTTCTCGCCCGCCCACGCAGCTTCGCCTCGCCCGCCCGCACGGCACGCACGAACACGAAACCGAAATTGATTTCCCGGTAGGGGGGCTCTCCGTTCCACTTCGATCTCACCCCCTCACCTCCGACAGCCGCAATTGCCGAGCATGCTGCTCGTATGACGCCCACTAATTCTACACGTGTTTCCCGGCGGGTGCGCTCCGCAAGACATTCCGGAAAATGCGCGCGCAAAATATGTGGCGCGCGTGCCATGGCTCTTGTACATAAAAAAAGGGGGGGCATGAGGCGGAAGGGGCGCGATGGGCGCGCTGGTCGGGGGGGGGGGGCAGGCGGGGCCCGGCGCCGTGCGCGCCGAAATAAAATGGTCGGGGCGGAGGGGCGCGCTGGGCGGCTGCTGGGGGCAAGGCAGGAAGGGGGCCTGTGCCGGGCGTGCCGGAATATAATGTTCGGGGCGGAAGGCGCGCGCTGGCTGGGGAGGGGGGCAGGGGAGGGCCGGTGCCATGCGTGCCGAAAGAAGGCGGTCGGGGCGGGGGAGGCGCGTTGGCTGGGGGGAAGAAGGGGCGCCCGTCCTGCGCGGGCCGAAACAAAATTGTCGGGGCGGAAGGGCGCGCTGGGCGCGCTGGATGGGCGCGGGGAGGAGGGGGCTGGCGCCGTGCGCGGGCGCAGGGGGCGCGCCGGTTGGGGGCGAGGAGGCAGCGGGGCCGGTGCCGCGTGCGCCGAAATAGAATCGTCGGGGCGGCGGGGGCGCGCTGGCTGGGGGCGGGGCAGGTGGAGGGCCAGCGCCGTGCGTGCCGAAGTAAATCGGTTGGGGCGGAGGAGGCGCGCTGGCTGCAGGGGGAAGTCGGCCGGTGCCGTGCGTGCCGAAGTAAAGTGGTCGGGGCGGAAGGGGCGCGCTGGCTGGGGGGTGGGGGGGGGGCGGGGGGGGGGCCGGCGCCGCGCGTGCCGGCGTGAAATGGTCGCGACGTGTGGCGCATGTTTTAGTACGACGCCATTGTATTGCGCTCGTGAGTTCGCTGGGGCAGCGTCGAGGCCGTCTTGGAAGCGTGGCGGGCTCCCGCGCGGTCGCCCCAGGGCACTCTGGAATTGTCTTCGGGCCTTCTTGGCCGGCTTAAAGGTTGTATCCTCGCTGTTTAGGGGAGATCGTGTCTGCGCTGCATGCGTTGTTTTGTCAAGATTATTGCTTTTTCTTCGGCGGTCTCAGCGCTGGCATTTGTTCCCAACCATCCTGTGGTGTTGGGTCCTCGTTTTGAAGAGACAGCGCCCGCGTCCTCACTCCTCTCCTCCTCCCCCCCTCCTCCCTCCTCCCACCATCATCATCGTCGTCATCATCATCATCAGCATAATCATCATCATCGTCGCCGTCGTCATCATCATCACCGTCATCATCATCATCATCATCATCATCATCATCATCATCATCATCATCATCATCATCATCATCATCATCATCATCATCATCATCTTCATCATCAGCATCATCAGCATCATCATCATCACTATCATTATCATAAGGCCCGAGTAGGGAGCTCCACCGAAGGCCCCAGTGGCAGGGTTCGCATGGCGGCCCCGCCCCATTCTTTGGCGCACCCCTCACACGGTTCGTGGCCCCATAGGGAGCTCCACCGAAGGCCCCAATGGCAGGGTTCACATGGCGGCCTCGCCCCATTTTGGCGCACCCCTCACACGGTTCGTGGCCCCATAGGGAGCTCCACCGAAGGCCCCAGTGGCAGGGTTCGCATGGCGGCCCCGCCCCATTTTGGCGCACCCCTCACACGGTTCGTGGCCCCATAGGGAGCTCCACCGAAGGCCCCAGTGACAGGGTTCGCATGGCGGCCCCGCCCCATTGCGGCGCACCCCTCACGAGGATCGTGGCTCCGTGGGGAGCTTCACCGAGGGCCCCAGTGGCAGGGTTCGCATGGCGGCCCCGCCCCATTTCGGCACACCCCGCACGAGGATCGCGGCCCCATAGGGAGCTCCACCGAAGGCCCCAGCGGCAGGGTTCGCATGGCGACCCCGCCCCATGTCGGCGCACCCCTCACGAGGATCGTGGCCCCATAGGAAGCTCCACCGAAGGCGCCAGTGGCAGGGTTCGCTTGGCGGCCCCGCCCCTTTTCGGCACACCCATCACACGGTTCGTGACCTCATAGGGAGCTTCACCGAAGGCGCCAGTGGCACGGTTCGCATGACGGCCCCGCCCTGTGTCGGCACACCACCCACGAGGATCGGAGTAATCATTTTTTGTCAGAGCTCCGGGGCCCGAAGGCGGACCCAGGGGGCCGAGATCGAAGGCCAGAGGCGAGCCCACACAGCGCTTGAGCGAGCCCATATCTAGCTGGGAACGGGAAAGAGGGTCCCCTCCCCCTCCTCCTCCTTTCCCTCCTACTCGCTTCCTTCTCTCTGTTGCCCGCGCGCAGCATCGTTGTCCTTGCTTGTTGAGTCCACTTAGCTGTGAAGCCATCCATTGCAAAGAATCCGAACCATCGCGGCGTGTGGCTTGCCCCGACCGGTGTCTAGGATTCTTGAGCGACGGGTGTCCTCATGGCTTCTCCACCAGTAGAAACGGACTCATAAAGCCATGAACATTGATGTTCGCTTGTCGGGGGTCCCTCGCCGCCGCCGCCGCCGTCGTCGTCGTCGCCGCCGTCGTCGTCTGGCCCTTATCTGCTTATGGCCCCTGCTGCATGTCCTCCTCATCCTCCCCCTGCCCCTCCTCCGATCTGTCTTCCGTGGCCGCTTTGGCTCGCGACTTCGACCGTAGCCGCTTTGGCTGAACATTCAGAGGCCGAAGACGCTGAAAAACTTCCACATTGAAAACGTCACGACGTGAGAGATCTGGACAGATGTCGTCGTCGTCGTCGTCGTCGTCGCCGCCGCCGCCGCCGCCGCCGGAAGCGGGCCCCTGCCCCCCCGACAAATCCATTCGGAACGGGCCCCCGGACCTTTCCCGTCGTCGTCGCCGTCGCCGCCCTCTCCGCCGCCGCCGCCGCAGCCGCCGCCGTCCTCGTTGTCATCGTCGTCGTCGTCGTCGTCGTCGTCGTCGTCGTCGTCGGCGTCGTTGTCGTCGTCGTCGTCGTCGTCGCCGCCGCCGCCGCCGCCGTCGTCGTCGTCGTCGTCGGTGCCGTCGTCGGTGCCGTCGTCGTCGTCGTCGTTGTCGTCGCCGTCGTCGTCGTCGTCGCCGCCGCCGTCGTCGTCGTCGTCGCCGCCGTCGTCGTCGTCGTCGACGTCGTCGTCGTGCTGCGTCGTCGTCGACGTCGTCGTCGTGCCGTTGTCGCCGCCGCCGCCGCCGCCGCCGTCGTCGTCGTCGTCGTTCGCAAGAGCGCGTTCTGATGGGTTGTGTGTCACGTCGTGTGTGTGCTTTCACGGGCGTCACTAACGCCGATTTTTCAATTCCGCGCCCTGCCAGGTAGATGGGGTTCGCCATGCGTGCGTGGGGAGTTTTCGAATGTGTAGAAGGACAAGACCATCGCGGATTTTTGAAAATTGGTTTTTGGGGGTCGTTGGGGTGTTCGCTTTGCGGCGCCACTAACGCCGATGTTTCAATTCCGCGTCCAGCCAGGTAGATGGGGTTCGCCGTGCGTGCGCGGAGAGTTTTCGAGTGCGTAGAAGGACAAGACCATCGCGGATTTTTGAAAATTGGTTTTTGGGGGTCGTTGGGGCGTTCGCCTTGCGGCGTCACTAACGCCGATGTTTCAATTCCGCGCCCGGCCAGGTAGATGGGGCTTGCCATGCGTGCGTGGAGAGTTTTCGAATGCGTAGAAGGACAAGACCATCGCGGATTTGTGATTTTTTTTTTTCGGGGGGGTCGTTGGGGCGTTCGCCTTGCGGCGTCAGTGACGCCGATTTTTCAATTCCGCGTCCTGCCAAGTAGATTGGGTTCGCCGTGCGTGCGTGGAGAATTTCCGAGTGCGTAGAAGGACAATACCATCGCGATTTTTTTGAAATTGGTTCTTGGGGGTCGCTGGGGTGTTCGCCTTGCGCAGACGCTTTCCCGTCTGTGTTGTTACTATCGCACATGTTCAAAAACGTGGCTCGCCTCACAATTTCGTTTCCCATGTCGGCCCACCCTGTATTTTGTTTGTCTGTCATGTGGGCGTTCTTACCGACCACTTCTATGTTGTAAATGTGGTTCCCATGTCTGTTTGTTTTGTTTCGTACCCCGCCTTGATTGCTTCCCCGTCTGCGCGCCGTCGCGCGTGGCGTGTCAGAGCAAAATCCACTTGGGGAAAAATCCGCGCGCTGAGGTTTTGATGTGGACGTTCTATTGATTTGTTCCGAAGTCATTGCGGAAACGTTGCCGGGATACTTCCAGGATTTTGACTCTAAAATCTTGGAGGTCTCCTGCTTTTCAGTGGGTTTCTATGGCGACGTGAAAAAAACCGTCGCGCATGCGACTTGCGCAGTTGCTTCGATCCACAGGACGTCAGCCATAATGTCGCGGCGACGTGTCGCATGACAAAAATTAGGGCCCCCGAAACTACACCCCAGCACGCCCGAGTGGAACGCAACATGTCTCAACCGATGGTTCGTTACTCTGAAAGCAGCGGGCTTCGCGTGCGCCAGGTGCGCCACGTGTTCGGGTGCGCCATCGCGCATCGTGCAGCTGTTGCAACTTTCCTGCGTTATCCTCTTCTTCCTCCTGTTCCTCTTCCTCATCCTCCTTCCTCCTCTTCGTCCTGCTCCTCCTCGTCCTGCTGCTCTCGCGCACGGCGCCCTCGCCCGGGGGATGGGGGGAGGAGGGGGGGGAGAGGGAATGAGGACGAAGATGAAGAGGGGACGGAGGAGGGGGTGGAGGAGGAGGAAGATGAAGATGATGAGGGGCCCCGGTGAGGATATTATCGAAGACGCCTACGGCGAATCACCGCCGCCTCTGCTTTTGTGGAAAGCGCCTCTGTGGCCAAACGTTGGACCCCAGCTTGGCCAAGCTGTCGGACTATTGTCTTCCCCCTGCCGTTCTGGACGATTTTCGGGGCACACCTGGGGAGGATCAGGATAAGCAGGGGGAGGAGGAGAGGAGGAGGAGGAGGAGGAGGAGGAGGAGGAGGAGGAGGAACGAGCGAACGAACGACCACCGGTGCGGACAGCAGCCCGGGCCTACTGGAGACGAGGTGAATGAGGCCGTGGCCTCTGAAATACTATTGTGTATGTAGGAGGAGGAGGAGGGGGAAGAGGAGGGGGAGGCCTCTTGGGAGCGTCTTGGGGCAATCTGGGGCCTCGTGGGAGCTTCCTGGGGGCCTCTTGGAGGCCTTTTCGGGGCCTCCTTGGGCCTTTTGTGGGTTTGGGGGGGCTTCTTGGGGGCCTCTTTGGCCGTCTTAGGGTGTTCCTGGCCCGTCTGACGCCGTCGGGCGCCGTGTTGGGGGCCTCTCTGGGCTGTCTTGGGGCTCTTTTGGGGCGCTTCATGGCTGTCTTGGAGGCCATTTTGAGCGTCTTAGGCCTCTTGGGCCGCGCATTGCTCGTTCACCGCCAAACCGCCTGCCCGCAGTTGTTTGTTGCGGCTTGTTTTTCTGTACAAGAGCGTTTTTGGATGACGACGACGACGACGACGACGGCGGCGGCGGCGACGACGACGACGATGACGACGACGACAACGACGAAAACGTCGACGACGACGACGACGGCGACACGACGCGGCGATCGGCGACGACGGCGGCGACGAAGACTTGGGGGACCCGCCGAGGCCGTCTGACACCTAGTGCCGCTCGAAAGGTAACTTCGGTTGTTCTCTAAAGAATTATGCGGGACCGGCGGCGTCTTGCTCCCCGGGCCCACCTTGGGGAGCATCGGACCCACCGATGCCGTCTGACACCTAGTGCCGCTCGAAAGGTAACTTCGGTCAATCGTTTTCTAAGGACTTATGCGGGACCGGCGGCGTCTTGCTCCCCGGGCCCATCTTGGGGAGCATCGGATTCGTCGAGGCCGTCTGACACTTACTGCCGCTCGAAAGGTAAATTCGGTCAATCGTTTTCTAAGGACTTATGCGGGACCGGCGGCGTCTTGCTCCCCGGGCCCATCTTGGGGAGCATCGGGCCCACCGAGGCCGTCTGGCACTCAGTACCGCTCGAAAGGTAACATCGATTAATGGTTTTCTAAGGACTTATGCGGGACCAGCGGCGTTTTGCTCCCCGGGCCCATCTTGGGGGCCATCGGGACCCATGCTGGTTCATCTATAGGGGGCGATGCATTCAATGTGGGAGGACAGCAAATTCTTTTTCGTTCAAATTTCATGCGGCCATCGCGCATCGATGGGACTCCCGCGCGCTCTGCCCTCCGCGCGCCGCGAAGCTACCGGGGTATTTGGGGCACATGATTAGGAACTTGCGTGTTTTTCGGCGCACCTCTGTCTCAGCTCATCTGGCCTGGGCCTCATTTTGGAGTCAAGCACCGCCGCGCTCGGGACGACGGCGGCGACAACGACGACGACGACGTCGACGAGGACGTTGACATCTTGTGATACCACCCTGGATGACGACGAGGAAAACGAAGCGTCCGTAGTCTTGATGGCCCGAGCGGGCGCCAGCGCGGACTCCGGCGCACGCCCGGCGGCCCCCTCGACGGACGACCCCCGCTCGTGGGCGGGACCCCCCTGGCGGGACGACCGCCCCGAGTCGGGGGGGCTCTGGCATTCGTAGGCTCGCCGCCCGCCGCGCGCTGGCCGGGCGCCGCGCAGATGCCCCCGAAGGGGAGCGGGGCCGAATGCAGGGTCAGAGTTATCGAGAAACCGCGACTAGCGGGCTCGAAATTCCAGGTCCGATTGATATCGAGAAAGGGGTCGTACTTGCATGGGCCCCTGCGGGACACGGAGGACACGGCCATGGCTGATCGGAGGCGGATCGAGCGCGCTCCAGATCGGCGCGCAGGAGCCCGCGCGGGTATCGGGGGATGGCCCGCAGACGCCGCAGCGCTTTCGGGAGGGTTCAGTTCGGCACAGGATGACGGGGAAGCGGGCGGCGTCGCCGCTCCAGCCCCCGACGCCGGGCGCCCCCGTGAAGGCGGCTCTACAGACGCCAGGCCCTCCTGCCGCGGGCGCGCGCGGCCAGAGGACCCCCGGGTCGGTGCGCAGCCAGGGGCCGACTCCCCGGACAGCGGGGGGCCGACAGGATCGAGCTGCCATGGCTTTCCGCGAGGTCTTGGCTTGGCACGAGCAGCACCGCCGCATGCCGTTGCGCACCCATGACGGGATTGAAGATGAGCTCGCGCAGAAGTGGCGCAGGTGGAGAACTTCCGCGCGGCTGACGCCGGCTGCGCGGGGCCTGAAGATGCGCGTCGAAACGCTGGCGGCGCAGTCGGAGGCAGCGCGGCAGGATGACCGTCGCGCTGCGCGCGCAGAGCACGCGCTGCTGATGCTGCACCAGCATTGGTGCGAGGGGAACGACGTCCACGACGAGGACCGTTGGAGGCAGCCTGCCCTGCATCGGTCTCGCGGCGGCCAGCGCCCGTGCCCGGGCCTCTCGAACCTGTGCAACACCTGCTACCTCAACGCGCCCCTGCAGTGCCTTCTCCACTGCCCCGCCGCGCGCGCCGCGCTCCTGGGGGTGGGGGGCGAGGGCGAGCCGCTGGTCGTGCAGGACCCTGGGTAGGGGAAATATTGTCGATAGCTCGGCTCCAACACGGCCTCCCTCCGCAGAGGAGGGAAGACGATTGGCGTGGACAGGGGGGGCGGGGGGCAGTCGGCTTGGGTTTCGCGCCCCCCCTCGAGGAGCTGCGCGCCCTGGCGACCGCCTGCGCGCGCGGAGTGCCGCCGAGCTTGGCGGAGGGCGACGGCGGCGATGCGCGCGCGCGCCTCCGCGTGGACCGCTGGTCGCCGCACGCCCTCGTGGAAGCGTTCATTGCGAAGCACCGCTTCGAGTGCAAGCTTGGGAGGTGCGCGGGCGCGAGCGGGGCGCTGGTGGACATGATACAAGACGCGCCAAGTCTTCACAGTCTGTTCCATTTCATCTCGTCCAACGGCGAGGAGGAGGTGGCGATGCGTCTCCCGCATTTCGTTGACGGGGCAGACGACGGCGACGACGCCATATCTCCTCAGGAGTTCATGAGCGTCGTCCAGGGCACGCAGGAACTCAACATGCGAGAGCTGATAAGTCGCGGCACCTCCATGAGGACACTGGCAACCAGGCCGGAGGTGCTGGCCGTCTACGTGGATCCGAGATGGAGGCGTGGCGACACGTTGTTCTACATGAGCGGCATCGGCATTCTCCCCGACTGGGGTGACGTGCCCGAGGTGGCTCTGCAGGTGGGCGGGGAAGATGTCGTGTACCGTCTGCGCTCTTACGTCCAGTACAAGTTGCCCGAAGAAAAAAGCATTGCCCCTGCTGGCCTCCTGACAGACCCCGAGGGCCACTACGTGGCCCACTTCGAGGAAGGCGACGAGTGGTACACTGCCGACGACCTGGGCGATCGCCCGCGCGTGGCCCAGCGGCCGCCCGGCACCCGGCATGCGATGCCCGTGCTGGTCTTCATTGAGCCGGTGGACTCCAGGGCGGCCCGCGCCGCGGAGTGCCCGTGGCCGCCCGGGCAGATCGTTGACAGCGCAGGGGGCGCGGGCGACGACGGTGGCGTGAGCGCGGACGGCGAGGACTGCCCCCGCCTCGACGGGGAGTGCGATGGGGAGGGCGGGGCCCGCGACGCCAGCTTGTCGGGCGCGCGGAAGCGGCCCGCGGCGTTTGCGAAGAGCGGCGCCCCTCCCAAGAAGCGGCTCCGCCTCCGAGGGGAGCAGGGCGCGGCTGGGCGGCAGCAGAGCCGCGCCGGGAGGCAGCAGGGCCGCGCTGGGAGGCAGCAGGAGAGGCAGCAGAGCCGCGCTGGGAGGCAGCAGAGCCGAAACCAGGCAGGGAGGCAGCAGGGCCGGGACGGTCGGCAGGGCCAGAAGCGCGGTTGCAGGCCGGAGGAGGTGCTGCGGCAGGGGCGGAAGCCGAAGAGCAAAGGCGACAATGCCGACGGCTCCAGGCAGGACGCCCAGAACAATTCCGCCGCCCCTGTCCTGCGCAGCAGCAGGGGGGCGAAGAGCTTGCAGGCGGCCTGCGACGCGCGCCGGGAGTGCGGCGACCTCTTCCTGCTCTTGCACTTGCTGGAGCCGCTGGCCGCTGCCGATGACCTGCTGAAGCACTACCTGGACTTCTTCGTCTACGCCGGCGACGACTGCGCCAACCGATGGGCGACGTTCCTGCGCGCCCCCGATCGGCCGGACAAGTTGGCTGGCAGGCCGCGGGAGGCGCTCGGGGTGACGGAGGGCGAGATTTCCGACGCCAAGCGCCGACTGGAGAGCGGGGAGTGGCACATGCACCACGTAGCGGAGCTCCTGGACGAGCGTCTGAACTCCGCCCACAGCGCCCACTCCGTGGCGGCCGCGGTCCGCTTGGCGGTGGGCGACGGGCCGGGCGCGCAGGGCGACGGCAACCCGTTGAGGGTGCACCTGGCAGAGGCGTGGCAGCGCAGACCCTGCAACCGCGGCCCGCGACGGCACTCGGCCATGCCCGCGCGCCTTCGGGATCGCTCTGAGTGGTTCCAGTGCCCCGCGCCTGCGCTGCATTATGCCTGCCGCATGTGCGAGGCCGAGTTCCCCAACAGGGGGGCTTTCAAGGCGCGCCAGGGCAGAATCCACGGGGGGCAGCGGTGGTGCCAGTCGCAGTATGTGGCGCGGTGCGAGCTGGAACCCTACCAGCCGTCGCCGACCGAGGAGCGCCAGGTGAGCGGGCGGCGGGGAGATGCGCTCAGCCCCCGGTGACGTGCCCTTAGCGTTGGCGCTCCCGGCGCCAGCGATAAGGGCATCGAGAGCGCTGGGGTCGGGCGGTGCTCCCCGCCATCGCTGCAGGTGGTTGCCAGGTTCCACATTTCCCAATGCTGCGCCACCGTCGACCCCGCGGACGAGCCGTTCGCCCCGAAGCCCGAACCGGAGGTGCAGCAGCAGCTGCTCCACGCGGAGATCGTCGGCAGGATCATCGGCAAGATCGGGCAGGGGGGGCCCGCGGAGAAGCAGGCGGCCATCGCGGCGGAGTCAGCAGCCCGCGCTTTGACGGCGTGTCAGGCAAGGGGGCCCCGCGCTTTCAAGGCATGCGTCTGCTGCGCCATGCAGCAGTGGTCCGAGAACCTCCACTCGGAGTACCTCGTCGGCGACAAGTGCACCATCAAGGACCGGGCCCAGTTCGCGGACTGCCTGTCGGCCGAGTGGTATCACCAATGATGGCCCCTCATACCGCGCGACGAGCTGATGTCGTCGGCTTTGGACTTCCCTCATGGCGACTGCGAGGGCTCGCCGACGTCCACGAAGATACTCTTGCACAAGAGGCGCGTGCCACCAGAAGCGCTCGAAGGAAAGGTGCCAGTGAAAGTGTGCGAGGATTGTCGGAGAGACCTGTGGTCTGATCACCCCAAGGTGCCGCTGATGGCGCTGGTGAACGACCTCTGGTTGGGCCGCCACCGCCCGCTGCTCAGGAAGGCCGCTCTCGCGCGCCAGATGCTGCTCGCGCTCGGCCGCGTCGTGCCTACGAAGATCTACCTTTCCAGCTGGGGCGCCGACAAGGCCGTCCGGCAGGAGCAGCAGTCGTGGAGGCAGAAGTTCTTGCAGTGCGCCATGCAGGGCACCGCCATCGTGTTCGGGAACGGGAACGTGGACCACGCGACGCGGAGCTTCCCGCCGGAGCCCGACATGCTCAGGGACACGTTCGTGGCCGTCTTCGCGGGCGCCGACGACGACGAGGAGGGCATCCCCCTGACCGAGGAGCAGAAGCAAGAGAGGGCCTTGAGAGCCATGAGGGAGGAGGTGGCGCTGCACGTCGACAAGGCGGAGTACGACGCCCAGGCGCGGTGGTTGAAGCAGCACAACTACGTGTACCATGACCCGGGCGTGCAGTGCCGATCGGACCTCGTGGACCGGTTCCCCCCGCAGCCGGACGTGCCCGACTTCATGCTGGCCTGCGCGAAGTATGTCCCCACGGACGCGGCGTTGGACGACGTCGCGCAGGCGCAGGGGCCCGCCTCGGCCACCACTGGCGCGCAGGCAGAGATGAGCGCGGCCGCCGAGGACGCGCAGGAGCTGACCAAGTGGCTGTCCGTCCTTGAGGACCACATGGGCGACGTCAGCGAGCTCACGTCCCTGCCGGCGCTCCAGGGCATACTCGAGAGGATGGAGAGTCAGGCGGGGCGCGCTGTGGCCGACGAGCTGATGTCCAGGCTCGAGGACCAGGGAGGCGAGGATAGGGCGCTGCAGCTGGGCGAGATCGGGCGTCACCGCCTGCGGGACCTCTGCCAGGAGTTCCACGCGCGCTGTCGGGAGATCTCCCCGGGGGAGGACATGGCGAAGCTGCGCTGGCGCGTCCAGGCGCTGGAGACGAACAACTGCCAGGCGGAGGAGGGCGCGGGCGACCCGGCGCGACCTGCAGGAGTCGCGGGGACTCCCGCCGAGGACGACCCGCGCTCCTCGCAGGGACCGCCCGGCCCCGACGGCCAGCGAAAGGCGAAGCTTCGGGTGCCAACTTCGAGGAAGGCGGAGAGCTGGTGGAATCCGAAGTACTGGTCCATTGCCAGGCCCACGGACTTCTGCTACGGGGGCTGCGCCTGGGGCCTCGGCCAGCCCCCCCCGGACGGAGACGAGGGCCCGCAGAGGCAGAAGGAGGGTCGGCTCTGCTTCAGCGTGGCGCACTTCATCAAGAATCTTCTCACGCGGGAGGAGATGGAGTACGACGTGCCCGCCGACGAGGAGAAGTACGTGGCCAGGCCCATCAGTCGTTTCCGGAGCTGCTGGTACGACGTGCACCTGCTGTGTTCCTTCTGGAGAGTCACGGAGACGACCGACAGCACCTGCACCTTCATGAAGACGCCCGGGGCGTTCGGGGCCGCTCGGGCCTGCGCGGACATCGCGCCGTAGATGATCGAGGAGGCGCAGCTCAGGGCGCAGCAGACGGGCGGGAAGGCCACGCTGCACGGCATCCTCAAGGACAAGGACACCCCGAACGAGGTGCGCAAGGCCTTCGCCACCCTTGGCCAGGCCACCGCCAGTCAAGTCGGGTCCGACGGACACAGGCGGGAGCTGCGTGGAGAGGGCGAAGCGTATACCCTGCGCTTCGGCCCGCCCGTCCAGTTCGTCACCCCGAATCTGGCAGACACCAAGCAGCCCCTGATCCTCATCGTGCAGGGGGAGGAGTACACCTTCGGCAACGACCTGACCGAGGCGGAGCAAGTCACGTTCAGCGAGATGTCGCAGCGCATCGCCGCGGACCCCGTGGGCCAGGCCGTGGTGTTCGAGCTGATGATGAGGCTGTTCTTCGTCCACGTCCTCGGCCTTCGCCCGGAGACCGTCGGGTGGCGGCGAGGAGAAGTTCGAAAGGCGTCGGAACACTGGATATCCGACGGCGTGGCGGCCGACCTCATGGGCGTGCCCACGGTGTTCGGCCCCCTGGCGGCGGCCTTCGGTCCGGTCGAGGCTCAGGGCCGCGGCTCGCTGCACCCGCACATCCTCATCTGGCTGCTGCAGGGTCAGCTGCGCGTGCTCTTGGACATGCTGCAGCGCGACGAGGCGCGCTTCCAGGAGCGCTTGAACCTGTGGATGCGGCAGGTGGTGCAGGCCGTGGTCGCCACCCAGCAGAGCGCCGTGGAGCTGCTGCCCCTGCAGCTGCAGGGGGGCGAGAACAAGTGCGGGGTCGCGGTGCCGCCGCTGCCGTTCGGGCCCAACGAGAAGCGGTACTTCAGAGCCGACGGGGGCGCGGAGATGGCGACTGCAGAGCAGCTCGGGGCCGAAGGCGAGACGGGGCCGCAGGAGCTTTGGTTCTACGAGCCCAAGGTAGACGACTACCACAGGGCGATTCGCCCCGATCTGCCGCTGCGCAACAACGACGGCGAGGCCGTGGACGGCGATGCGGCGTGGACAGAGCAGAGGGCCGCGGAGAACAAGGGGTACTGGCGGCGGCCGCTCTCCAGCAGCGCCTCCGGCATCTTCCCGAAGTGCCGCGGCGGGGGCACTCTGGCGGAGTCTCCCCCGAGCGACGAGTGGATTCGCGGGATGTGCCGCGACGCGCGCGAGCTCGTCATCGGCTGCGGCATCCACGTCTGCAGCCCCTCCTGCTACAAGTACCATTCCGACAAGACGCGCGGCTCGCAGATCTGCCGCCACAACTTCTACAACCTGGTGACGCTGTGCACGTGGCCCGAGGGTGGGGACTCCCAAGAGTGCCTGCTCCGCACGCGCGGGAAGGCCCTGGGCGGCTGCATCGGCATCTTCCGGGAGGCGGACTACGGCATGGCCGGGCGCATCGCCACCTTCCAGCTCCACCCCGGTGAGACCTCGACGAAGTACGCGGCGGTCGTCTCGGCGCGGTGCAACGTGGACGTGCAGGACATGAGACGGGTGCTGCCCCCGCGTCTGTGGATGGACGCGTCGGAGCTGGAACCGCCGGCGAACGAGGAGGACCGCAATAGCTACAACCATGGCCTCTACCCTCAGCGCTGCGCCGACTTCGCGGTGGGCGCCCGGGAGGACTGGGGATTGTTCCAGCATCTGAACACCACGTCCGCGGAGAAGTGGGGCCTCGTCGTAGTCACCGACTGGCACGAGATCTTCAGGGAGCTCGCGAACCGCGACAGCCCCGCCGTGGACGGTGGCGACGCTGCGCGCGCCGATCTCCAACGCGACCTGGAGCGGCACGCGCTGGCCACCTTCGTGGACGCCCACAACGCGAGCTACTACGTGAACTCGTACACCACGAAGGTGCACCCGAGCATGGACGACGTGCTCTGCAAGCTCCTCGACGGCGTGCGCCGCCTGAAGAGCCAGTGGGGCGACAGGGGGGCGCGGGCCGCGGGCGGCGCCAGCGACGAGGCCCAGTCGACCGCCGCGGGAAAGCGCAAGGAGGATTTCAAGCGCACGCTGCAGGTGCTGGCCCGCTTCGAGACCTGCTTCCGCAGGGCCTCCTGGAAGAGCGGCAGCGAGATGGTCTTCCCCATGCTCTTCGGGCACCTCTCCTTCATGACGCACCGTTGCTGGAAGGTGTTCATGCGGAAGTCCATTTACCTCGCCGCGGAGTCCTGGCGCAGGCGGCATGGCCAGGCCGACGCCGCGGAAAGCGCACCCGCCGCCTCGATCACGTACGCGGTCCCTGGCATTGGACAGCAGGTCGCGATGCCAGGGTGGCGCGAGGTGCAGCGCGAGGGCGAGCCGGTGTGCGTCAGCCCCGACGGCGAGGAGTTCGACACGATCGAGTACGCGCACCAGGCGTTCCAGATCGCGAGCGCCAGCGGCAGCTCGCTGCGCGACGTGACGAAGGCGCTGAACAAGTTGCGGGAAGGCGAGGCCGAAGAGGCGCCCGAGGCACCGGGGCCGACTGTCGAGGGCCTCGCGCAGGGCAAGTTCAGGGGCGCAGTGCTGAGCCAGCACGACGACTGGATGCACCGCGGAGACCACCCTATTGTCCGAGACATGAGCTTGTACGTCTACAGCATCTGGGTGTACCGCGTGGAACTGCCGCTGCATGCCCTTCCGGCCGGGGAGCTGGATCCCGAGGGCAGCGGGGGTCGCACCCTGCACGTCGACATCGCCTTCGACTCGTCCTACTCAGCGGCGCGGAACTGGACGCAGAGGCTGGCCGTCGAGCCGCGCATCCCGAAGGCCGAAGGCTTCCAGTTCGTGAGCGCGGAGTCGAACGTGGAGACGCACTACCTCATGAAGTCGGTGCTGCTCCGGCCAGTGCACCTGCCGGGCGCCGACGGCCCCAACGACACGAAGGAGCTGCGCTACCTCCGCGCGTGCGAGCACCTGTGCGCGGCGCCGGGGGGCGAGCCGGAGTGGCCGGCGCAGCCGGCGGGGGAGGGCGTCTCGGGCCCGTTCCAGCGCGGCTGGGAGTCGTTCGCCACCGCCCAGGAGCAACTGGCGAAGACGGCCCGGGCGAAGTGCCTCAGGAATGACGTCGGGTCGTGGGCGACGCCCAGCATCTGGAACACGGAGGAGGTCGAGTCCGCGCTGCGCGAGAAGCGCGGCGACCGCCGCGAGGACGTGCAGCCTCCTTGCCGGTGCGCCCAGTGCACGGAGCTGGGCAACTGGCTGGACAGCATGCTGACGGTGCAGGAGTACCTGGCCCTGGAGACCACGAAGACCGCGGCCAACTTCGACGGCATCTCCATGGCGAAAGCTTCGAAGCCGAAGAGGCCGCAGAAGGACGACGTGCACGTCGCGGAGGCCCCCGTGTTCCGGGAGGGCGCCGAGGATTCGGGGGCGGGCGCCGCGCAGGTGGAGGCCCAGGGCATCCGCGCTCAGGACGGCTTCGCGAAGCTGGGCGCCAACGTTGTCCTGGAGCATCACTTCGACCCCGAGACGCTCGGGCAGATCTTGCGCTTCGACACCGCCGAGCGCACGCAGGCCTTCGTGAAGGAGCTCAAGAAGGCCGCCACGATGATGGAGAACGGCGCGCTGCCGATGCCTACTGACGCCGACGCGTCGCGGCGCGCAGCCCGCGCTCTGAAGGATGACGTCCTCGCTCCGTTCAGGACCTTGCGCGACCTCGACGCAGACGAGCTGAAGGACTTGGTGGAGACCCAGCGGAAGAGCTTCGCCAAGGGGAGCACGAAGGACGCGGACGTGCCCGCGGACGACGCCCCCGCGCCGGACGACGACGGGGCAGCGGGCGCTGGCGCGATGCCGGCCGCGGCGCAGGCGCGGTGGGAGCCGTCGGAGGAGTTGCAGCGGCCCAGCGACCTCGTCAAGCGCCTCGTCAAAAAGTTCGAGGACGGCGTGGTCAACCCGAGCACGGGGAAGCAGGAGCGCCGCCCTCTGAAGCCCGACCAGGCCCTGTTCGTCACGGCGTTCGCGAACGCCTGCAACGTGGTGTGGGACGAGGAGCAGCAGATCGAGGACGGCAGCATGGCCAAGCACGCGAAGCGGAAGACGTTCCAGTTCCTGCTCCTCGGCCAGGGCGGCAGCGGGAAGACCGCCATGGTGCAGGAGATCGTGCTGCCGGCCATGGACGCGCTGTTCCCTGTGGAGACGGGCAAGGCGAAGTCCACGCTGATAGTCTGCGCGAAGTGGTCTCAGGCCGCAAACATCTCCACGGACGCTCACAAGGCCGTCAGTTGCCACCGGGCGGGAGTCATCGGAGTGCAGTCCTTCAGGAACAAGGACATACCCGCGGGGGGCAAGCTGAAAGCGCTGCAGGACACGTGGGAGGCGGTCAGGTGCTTGATCCTGGAGGAGGTGAGCATGATCTCGCCCAACCTGTACAACATGCTGGCGTTCCGGTCCTACCTGGGACGCAAGGCCGAGTGGGGCGCGGAGGAGCGCGAGTACGACCAGGTCGGCGGCGCCTTCGGCCGGATGCCCATCGTGATCCACCTGGGGGACTTCCTGCAGCTGAAGCTGACGGGAGGCAAGGTGTCGCTCATCTCCAGCTTCGAGGAACTGGCGGCGGCGGGCATCAACTTCGCCCCAGAGTGCCAGGCAGTGATGAAGCTCTTCTGCAACACGCCGCTGTGCTTCGAGCTCCAGGCGTCCAACCGCTTCAAGGACCCCAAGCTCCGAGATCTCATGGCGTTCCTGCGCAGACCGGGGAAGCAGGCCCCTCCGGCCATCCAGGCCACATGGGACGCCATGCAGCTGAAACCCGATGATCGCCGGCTCCGGGAGGAGAGGTTCCAGAACGGCCACATGATCGGGTCCTACTGGGACACCGTGGCGCGGTGGATGAACATGCGTGCTCAGCGGGACGCGGACGTCCTGAAGAAGCCCCTCTTCCTCGTGCAGGCCGCCGACAGGTCTGCACCGACGATGAGCGTCAAGGACGCCGCCAAGATGATGAACTGTGCCAACCCGAAGAACACCGGCGGCATGCACGGGCTGCTCCCGGTGCACGTGGGCATGCGGATCCGGCTCCTAGAAGCGCTCGACCTCAAGAACGGCCTCGTCAAGGATGCCGAGGGGCAGATCGTGCACATCGTCGTGGGCCCTCGAGATCGGGGCGATGTCGAGAGAGCCGAGAGAGGGGGAGAAGAGGATCTACCTGAAGCGCTTGCCGCTGGGGTTCTGGGTGCGCATGGAGAAGTACGCGAGCGCGCCCTTCGTGGACGACCTCAAGCGCCGCGACGACAGCCTCACGGGGGACCTCGCGGGCCCGCTGGTGTTCATCGAGCCCCGCACGTCGGAGCCGTTCACCTTCCGCACCGCCAAGGTCACGCGGACGGGCTTCCCGTTCTCGCACGGCGGGGTCATCACCACGGTGGCGTGCCAGGGGCGCGCCATGCGCGAAGGCGACGGGGCGGGGGAACGGCGCTCCGGGGACGGCCAGACCTCCGGGGCGCGAGCAGTCCGCGGCCAGACCTCGGTCCTGTGGACTCTCGCCCTGGGCCGTCGGCTGCCCGGCGCACTGCTCCCTCGGCCGAGTCGCCCAGGTGAAATCCTGGACTGCGGCCGCCACGAGGTCGGGAACGGCAAGAAGGAGGACGACGACTGGTGGCTGGAGCTCTATGTGCTGCTCTCGCGCGCCACGCGCCACGAGGACCTCCTGCTCATGCGAGCGCCGCGCATCGAGTTCTTCCTGGCAGGACCGCCGGAGGGCCTGCGAAAGCAGCTGGAGCAGTTTGCAGCGCGCACGAAGCGGTGCAGGAGGGAGGCGACGGCCCTCGCCAGGGAGCTCGGCTTCACCGAGTTTATCCGCGAGGCCTGACCTGAGGAGCGCCCCCCCCGAGCCGCGCCTTCTCTCGACTGCCCGCATAATTGTTTGGCCTCGCGCCGCGGACGACCCGCGCGCGTCGCTGGGGCCCTCTCGGGGCGACCAGCGCGCGTCGCGGGGATTCCGCGCGGCGCTCTGCTCAGCGCCTCGCTCGCCCGTCGTCGCTCTGCCCAGCGGCCGGAGCCTTGCCCGCAATCGGCCGGCCGGCTAGCTCTCTTTGCTCCGCGCAGCGGACGACCTGCGCGCGTCGCTGGGACCCCTCCGCGGCGACCTGCGCGCGTCGCGGGGGATCCGCGCTGCTCTGCGCCCGCAGTTTTGGATTTTTGGAGTGCGCTGGCAAAGAGAGGAAAATAAGGGGCGGAAGCGGGTGCGATCCTCGTGAGGGGCGTGCCGACATGGGGTTTCGCGGCGCGCGGGCGCTGCCGTCGGGGTTCCCGCGGAAGCTGCCTGCGGCGGCCACGCTCAGTGTCGCGAGTGTTCGGACAGGCATGCCCGAACCATTCACATTCATATACATGTACACTAGGCGTAGTCATGAACACGTCCACGCAAATATACTCACTCGCACGCAGACTCATTCACGCTCAGACTCACTCGCGCTTCGACTCACAAGCGTTCAGTCTCTCGTAATTCGACCTATCGTATTCCTTTGCGTCGTGTACCCCGCCACAATTCGGCGCGCCCCTCATGCGGTTCGTGGCCCCATAGGGAGCGCCACCGAAGAAGACATTCAGAATTGCGGTATTCACAACTGGATATGGTTGGGTCCTTCGCCAGGATAATTTTGCTTTCCGTCGCTGCGCGGGATGGCTCCCCGCGCTCATCTGGGGCGCCGCTCGTTGCAAACATGTGCGTTTTTGAATGAGTATACGCGTCGGCTTTGGATCCCACCGCGCAGCGGCGATCGCCGAGCGTTTTTTTACCTAACAGCTTTTGCTGATAGGTTTCTAGTAGGGTCAAGAGAGCATCATGACTCCTCAGGGGGGTCTGGGCGGGTGCCGGGGAGGAGAGCCGGGAATCGTTTTCCGCCAACAGTCACACACTTCGTGCTCTTCGACCTCCCAGAACTCCATTCCCGGGCCACATTCTGGAGAACCGGGAACAGAGCCGGGATCGCTTTTCGCCAACAGTCACACACTTCGTGCTCTTCGACCTCCCAGAACTCCATTCCCGGGCCACATTCTGAATGCCCGGAGCCAACCGTAGGCCACTTCGTGCTCTTCGATTCCCCAGAACTCCATTCCTGGGCCACATTTTGGATGCCCGGAGCCAACTGTAGGCCACTTCGTGCTCTTCGATTTCCCAGAACTCCATTCCCGGGCCACATTTTGGATGCCCGGAGCCAACCGTAGGCCACTTCGTGGTTTTCAGGTTCCCAAGATTTTATTCCCGGGCCACATTTTGAATGCCCGGAGCCAACTGTAGGCCACTTCGTGTTCGTCTAGTTCCCAGAATTCCGTTCCTGGGCCACATTTTGAATGCTGAGGCAGGCTGATGCTGCGACCGATGCAGGCTGAGGCTGATGCAGGCTGAGGCTGAGGCCGAGGCTGAAGGCAGACTGAGGTTAAGGCTGAAGCAGACTGAGGCTGAGGCTGAGGCAGGCTGAGGCTGAGGCTGAGGCAGGCTGATGCTGAGGCAGGCTGAGGCTGAGGCTGAGGCTGATGCAGGCTGAGGCTGATGCGGGCTGAGGCTGAGGCCGAGGCTGAAGGCAGACTGAGGCTGAGGCTGAAGCAGGCTGAGGCTGAGGCTGAGGCAGGCTGAGGCTGAGGCAGGCTGAGGATGAGGCTGAGGCAGGCTGAGGTTGAGGCTGTGACTGCGACTGCCGTTGCCGCTGCGACTGTCATCGCGAACGCGACTACGACTGCGAGAACAGCAGAATTCTACAACTGGATTTTCATCTGAATCTTAAGGGGGATGCTTTCAGATATGCTTCTACACATCGCTGTTAGGTTGCTTTGCTGGGATAATTGAATGAGTATACGCGTCGGCTTTGGATCCCACCGCGCAGCGGCGATCGCCGACTCCTGGGCGGCGCGCGCTCTGAAATTGACCACTCGGGTGTCCCAGGCCTCGGGCGCATGGACCCGTCCGCGCGAGTTCTGGGCGGGGGCGCAGCCCGCGCGAT